TTACTGGGAGCGGTGAGATGATAGGTGTGAGGACCAAAACAATATGCTGAAAGAGATTAAAACATCCAAAATAACAGCGGGTCCAGTAGAGTCAGATGATAATTGTCTGTGGGTCTGTCACCATCAGTGACTCATTACACATCACACATAGTTTACTGATCCTTTGTAAATATAAAAACATGGATGAGCACAGCTTTAAAATCACCCTGACAACAGGGAGTTTAAAATGCTGCCATGAGCTGAGAAAAATATAAAAAAAAACTATAAGTTAACTATCTCCCATGATTTATGACTTGTATTTACCCTACTCTCCCAGGTCAGCAGGATTTTACAAAAAAAAAGTTCAGTGCATTCATAGCTCTAGTTAATATATGTGTTGACTTTTCTTTTAGTGCTGTGATCATTTTCAGAGGCACAGCTCCCATCTTCCTCAAACAGCACTTACTTGTCTTGCTTCAGTTTTCCTTGCCTCAGCAGCAGGCCTGCTCTGTGATGAATGCTGACGATCTGGAAGGAAACGTCTCTGCAGCCTCTGCTGGGCTCCATCTCCTACCTGCTGACTGATCGATAGTGAAGCTAAAGTTAGCAACAGCAAAACATCTCTAAGCTGCACCTTTACTACTAGGCCTTTTTCACAGGGAGCAATTTGGCTTCCTATAATAAAAAAGCACAGGTGTCACTCATAACACTTTAAAGAGTTGCTAAATAATTTCAACTGTCCTTTATTTTATTATTTAACCCCATCCAAGAATTTTCTATGTCAACTGTTGAAACATCTCCTGTGAAAAGTCCCAAAGGCTCTTTAACAAGCCTCATCTCATTCTCAAATGCATTATCCACAGTCCAGAATTGTTTTTTAACAACTGCAGAATAACATAGGACTCATAAAGTGGGTTTTTGTATTTTAAGCTTTTTCAGAAGGTAATACACATTTAGCAAAAGAAACCATATACAGTAGATAATGCTGTCATCATCACGCCAAACTTCTCAGGTGGAGTAACGAGAGCTGGAGCAGCCTCTCATGAACAGATGGCGGCCATATTTCCATTTTATTGCGCTTGGCAGCATGCTGACATAATAATCTATCTTGCGGGCAGGAGGACACTGCACTGTAACCCAAGAACACAACGTTCATGAAAGGAGCACCGTGCGCACATTATACATTTCATTTTCAAAACAATAGGTGTATGTGCTGCTGCAACATATCCGCCGAGAATTTTCTAGCTGCTTCTTCCACCCACACAACTTATGTCATGCTGATGCACCTATCAGTGTGTGCTGCAGTGAGCAGGAGCGAATCCAGCACACTGTATAACATTAGTTATCTGGTAGATGTTAAATATTAATTTTAAATATCTTATTGTTTCCAACTTGGGAATCAGCAAGCAGAAATGTGAAACATGAAATGACAACATACGCCTGACAGCAACCTTTTTTGTAATGTTATGTAGGTACATTTGTTAATAATGAAGTGGAGTATTAAAGATCTGGGCTGAAAATGATGCACAAAAGCAGTGCTCAAGGCAGTTTATCATTCCTGTGGTGTGTGAGTAAAACCAATGGTCCAGTGAATCTCCTGAGGAAACCCTTTTATTGTCTCTGCAAAAATGAGACCATTATTTAAAGTGCACTATTTCGGATAGACTGTATGTTGTGTGCAATATATGAAACAGCTATGGCTTGCATGTACTCTTGAGCAGATGGCAGACATGTACATACAATTAGAAAGAGATCATTGCTTGATGATGTTGCATTAAACATACTTACAAAACTCAGGAACACAGCTTTATCTTTAAAGGCATGTTAGACTTCCCATATTATCAGTGGACTGGCTGGTTAGTTATAACGGGGCAGTAACAATTTCATCTTCATCTGGTCTGAGAGAACTGTTCTGGGATCTGTCAGTGTCAGTCTGTCCTATAATAACTCACTATTAAGCATCTGCCTCTGATCAGGAATAGCTGACTACTGGTATATCAAGTTTAGTAGCCTCCCCTGGGAAGCCTCCTGGTTAACTTTATAACTCCCCTCAGCAGAGCTCTGTATACAACCTTAAATGGTACAAAGCTAAGAAACAAAATGCCAGAGGTTTAACAAAAATAGTCAACAAAAACTAAAGATGAATGTAAATTTCATAGAAAACGGGACTTTTGCAAGGATCAAATAATGGGTATCTTAATTTTTTAAATTAAGCCTTGAAAATTTGTGCAAACTATTCCTACAGATGTTCTTTTACTGATGACTGCTCAAAGGCAGTGCAGGCAAAGACTGTCACTACACCCTCTGAAGTATTATTTGGAAAAAGACACTTAAAGGACATCAGAGCTCCTCAGGGTTTAATCCTATAGCAGGATATGACCTTAATGCAGCTTAAGTCTTTTGTCCTTCAATTGAAAGCAATTTCCTCTTTTCAACAGGTAAAACGTTATACAGAGGTCTTTCAAGAAAAAGAAAGAAAGATGAGATTTTAAGATAAAATTTTAAAATTGAGCACAGGTTTTTGTAGTTGAATATTGTGTTTCACCATGGCAGCAGCATGGCTTTGTGCATGGTGTTATCAGTCTGTCCATCACTTTGGTGCAGCCTGAAATAGCTCAAAAACTACTGGATGGATTGCCATGACATTTCTGTACAGATATACTCAGGTCTGCGAAAGTCCCACAGCTGTATTCTGAGAAGAGAGCGATGGTTGGACTGATGGGATCCACCAAGCTGAGACACTGCTCTCTTAAATAGAAATCCGAACTGTAGGTCACTCGGAGGCTAATGGAGGTGCAGCCTTAAGAGGAGTAGCACTGTCTCATCTTCAGCTGCACAGCGACATGGAAAAAATGACAACAAAATGACACTGGGTGGTCCAGCTGAATGCGTGACAAACATGAATTACAAGACCTATTTGTGGCAGATTTGTTCTGTGAACTGAGCAGGTTTCATGAGTCTTAAACAAATAGTTTGACATTTTGGGAACTGTTATTCTCTGCTTAATAGTTAGACAAGAAGACTGATACCACTCTTATATCTGCAGGGCAAATATGAAGCTGAAGCTACAGCTGGCGGACACGTAGCATAGCTTAGCACAAAGACTGGAAACAGGAGAAAGGTTAGTCTGGCTCAGTCAGAAAACTAAGTACCAGCACCTATAAAGCTAATTAATTAACACATTATATCACGGGTTGTATTGGTAAGAGTAAAAAGTACACATTTTATATTTAACAGGGGATATGCACCTGAGAAGAAGGCAGTTAATTTCTAGTCTCAAATGCAGAGTTTGTTGCCACCTCATCCTGTACGCTGTGTAAAGTGAATGCATTTAGAAATCAATGCGAACTATTCACATTTTGAAACCTATTCTGAGCCACAAATTTTATAAACTGCTGCGAGATGGGCATTTCAGAACCAATTTTTGTGGTATTATAAATAACACAACAAAATGAACAAGAGTATTTCCCATAATGTTAAAGTATTCTTATAAAGCCCGTTCAAAACTTAGTTGGAAACCAGTTTAACATCCTGAAAACCTGACCTTTTGAAGGTTAAGGACTTTTTTTTTTAAATAATGAAATCCTGTTGGCAGTGTGGTAATGTAAACACAAAGGGGGCAACTAGTGCACATCCTCTGAAAAAGCTTTTTGTTCATAAAGCCACAAAACAACTCTTACCTCCAACTTGTCTTAATATCAGTGTGATGATGAGCTCGAAGCTGCAGGGGTCACGTACGTTCCTCTGTTGACTTTGTCTTTGAAACCATGCTTAAAGATATTCTGAAAGGGAAACATTTACTGTGCAAACTCAAGAGCATGAAAACGATATGAAAAACAGATCACGGTGACTTGTCACTAGTGAGCTAACAATGCATTCTTCAAAATGGTGTCTAAAGGGAAACCGCATCTGGATTTCCAATCAATTCCCATTAGATTACTTGACCGATGAGATTTACACCGGCTCAATAAGGCATAAAAACGTGTCAGAGTCAAAAACATCCATTTTTCCTCTCTTTATTCAGTGATAAATAATTTCCTATGATCATACGTGTAGACATCCGATCAAGGCAAGAGACAAATCAGAGGGCACGCACTGCCACCATTAGAAAATAATAGCAGAAACAAAAACAATGAGGTAAGAAGTTCTCTTTTTTTTTACACATCTGTAGTGCTTCTATTTCTGTTACCTATACTGTTGAATGCACAGTGCTTCCTAACACAGAAATCCTGCCTTTTATGTCTGTACACTTTTAAACAAAAACAGGTCATGGCACAATACTGAACCAACCAAGACAGGGCACTGCAGAGCGTATAGTTTAGCAGTTAACATCATCAGACCGAGGGTAAGAAAAGCGGAGCAGGAAACAGAATTACAAAACAAAACTAAGACTTGGCGACTCAGCTCCGTGACTGATTCAACACACACACACACTCACACACACTTTTCAGGAGAGTTATGAATGTCAGTAGACTGTATGCTCCCCTAACTGTTACCAGTGTAAACATGAACAAACCTACAGTCAGGCCCATAAATATTGGGACATCGACACAATTCTAACATTTTTGGCTCTATACACCACCACAATGGATTTGAAATGAAACGAACAAATGTGCTTTAACTGCAGACTGTCAGCTTTAATTTGAGGGTATTTACATCCAAATCAGGTGAACGGTGTAGGAATTACAACAGTTTGCATATGTGCCTCCCACTTGTTAAGGGACCAAAAGTAATGGAACAATTGGCTTCTCAGCTGTTCCATGGCCAGGTGTGTGTTATTCCCTCATCCCGATTACAATGAACAGATAAAAGGTCCAGAGTTCATTTCAAGTGTGCTATTTGCATTTGGAATCTGTTGCTGTCAACTCTCAAGATGAGATCCAAAGAGCTGTCACTATCAGTGAAGCAAGCCATCATTAGGCTGAAAAAAAACAAAACAAACCCATCAGAGAGATAGCAAAAACATTAGGCGTGGCCAAAACAACTGTTTGGAACGCCACGCCACGGTGGTGTATAGAGCCAAAAATGTTAGAATTGTGTCGATGTCCCAATATTTATGGACCTGACTGTATGTGTCTGTTTTTTTGCATGTATATGTGGAACAGCTCAAGAAAATTAACTGTTTCAATAAAGGATTAATAACTTAATCGATTTTGTAGGCAGATGTGATAAACGCTCACTGTTTTCATCTTCCAAACTGCTGCATTTGCAGCTTGTCTCTGTCTTTTACATAACATTAAACTGTAAATCTGTGGGTTACGAATTGGTCTCGTGAGTGACGGCTGTGTGAAGGACATGTACTATTTAAGGAGAAATCAAACTCATTGTTCAGAAATGGAAAGATTTCAGTGTTTTATGAAAAATTTGTTTGACTGAATTTGGTGTTTTGTATAAAGTCAGACACTCTCACGCTGGGAGGGAGGCCTTCCAGGAGCGGCCTGACAGTTTGAGGTTTTCTTCGGTACATGAGTAACCCAGAGATGGTCTACATCCACTGATACACTTCAAACAGCAACTGACAATAGCTAATACTGCATATGCTCAAATACTGCCAGTGAGCCAAAAATGTAAACATGGCAACAGTATATTTCCTACTAACATCCTACAAAGCCTCCAAAGTACAATAACTTTGGCTCCATAACTTGGTTTTACTCAGTTTTCTCTTTTGTCAGCGAGACGGCCACAAATGCCTGCTGGTTCAATGCGCTGTACTCGACAGGAGTTGTGCCATGTTTATATTTTACTGCACTTGCACTGATACTTGTACTGGCCTGCATCTGGTTGTGTGCATGTTCTCACTGCTTTTGTGAAGACATCACCTTGGCCTTTAAAAACTTGTAATTGGCAGCTGGTCACTTTTTGAGAGTTCAATCAGAGTAGTTATCAAGAAAAAAAATCTGCAATTAATAATTACTAGTTTTAGAGGTTCTTTAAGTAAAAATGACATTTTCTGGATCCAGTGTGTGTGTGTGTGTGTGTGTGTGTTTTATTCACAGACCTCTGGAGCAGCACACTGAGGCACAGCCCCATGCATGGACCTGACCTGCAGTCCCAGTGCCTTCACTGCTGTACAAAACAAGAAAAAAAAATGCTCCTGGATCACTTCTTTCCTATGCAACATTAAAGGAGAATACCACCAATATTTTAGCATTCACATGTTATTTTCACATCTTAGGTTAACACTTCATCTTCTATTTATTAAAGTCAATACTGTTTGCTATAAGTAGCGATAAACGAGTTCATCTTAACCCTTCAAAATGTAACACCACAAAGATGTACATCTTTGAAAAATACTTTGAAAAGGTCACTGTGCTTGTGGATACACGGAACAGGATTAAGATTATTACTACAAATACAAGTGGTGTACAGTATTTATGTTCAGATGATTACTCTGTCTTATTCACAGTCGTCTAGTCACTGGCAAAAGATGTGCATTAGTGTCATCGGTTTAGCTTAGCAAAACATCTATCTACATTTAGATGTTTTATTGCTGTCCATATAAATAACATTATGCAAGGTCTTACATTGAGTGGCATTCTCCTTTATGGTACTTAACCTCCCATTCCTCTGCCCATGGAGGTCACCACTTGTTGCTACCTGCTCCTAAGCTGGAGCTGGTTGGAGACAAAAAGGCGGCACACCTGCGCCTCCCTCTCATCCACAGCAGCCTGTGTGTGGGCCTAGACAGCTGGAATCACAGCTGCTCTCCACTACCACACACCTGGGGCTGTGTGATGTAATGGGTGAGAACAGACCCTGCTCTAATGCCAAGCTGGCACAATCCCCTCAATATCCCTCAAGGGTTCAGTTCAGGGAACCTCAATTACACTCAGACTACTTCAGTGGAAGGGCAGCGGGAGGCGCAAGAAAAAAATAAGAATACAAAATGTACAACAACGAAAAAAAACACACAACTGAAATAGCTAAGAGAAGCCAAAAATAGCATCAGGAGCAGTTGTGACGGCACAGACGTGTGCTGAGGGCAACGGAGCGGGCGGCCGGAGGTCAAGTCGAGGAGTGGCTATATTGGTCCTCAAGAAATGTGTGCCAGCACTTTGGCCACAGTTGCCATGACAGAGGCACATTAAGCACCCTTTCCATCAGAACAACAGACAGTCGACCATATCTTAAATCAACGGCTCAGCCTGAGCTGCCTTCCCTCACACTCCTCCTCCCCTTCATGCCAACGTCCCCCTTTAGTGTTTTGTTCGTTTGCATCTTTTAGTAGTTAGATACTCCATGGTGCTGCGGTCCCTTGACACATAAGACACTTCCCTTTTTGAGACTTCTGGCCAGAGTTTGTTGTATTTGATTTTCAGTCTGTGTGTGTTTTGTAAATCCCATAAAATCTTCAGAAGCCTCTTGTTTCAGTTCAGAGGCAGCCACAGTCGAGTCCTCAGCCTGGGAGGCAAACTTTGCCTGCAAACAGCAGTCCCACTATGGTGAAGAAGATAGAGAGAACAAACAACACGTACGAGGAGCCGACCACTGTATTGTTCGGTAGCTTGTACGGCTGGCCTCCCACCTCGTTGATATAGAAGCCTATGGGGAAGATCAGGGCCGCCATGCAGAACAGGATCACTGGAGGGAAGAAGAGAGGAAATGTTAGTTTACTGTCAAGATGATTCCTTTGATTCTCTATAGACAGTTTCTGTCTAAGGCTAAAAAACGAATCAGAAATGGCTGGTTTTCAGCATGATCGGCCTTGACAGGTGACCAGCTGGTCACTCTGAGATTTCCGATTTTGTGCCGATCAGATTTAGAAGCAAGACAGTCCACGTCGAACATGGGCAGACCAAAAGCGTAGCATGTGCAGCATGTAGCATCTCGTATGCACCTCAAGCAAGAATTGCGCTCATGTCTGTACCAGATGCATATTTACCTGTGCACTGGAATCACTTGGTGAGCAAAGAGTGCACAGAGGAGCCTACAGAAGCACCTTGGAGAAGGGCAAACTATGTCCAAATCTCCAACAAATAGTACACAATGAGGGAGTTGCTGGCTACACATGAAATGCATGTATATGTACAGTTTATCAAACCTGTGGTAAAACACAGCAAATACAAACTACACACCCTTCAAAAAGAACTGCATGCTCAGTAAGACTGATGTAATAGACATTCTTGTTTCTATTACATGTTGCATCTGTTTATAATAGGAGAACTACAAGTATGCTGTCAATTACAGTTCTTAGAAAGAAAGCTGGAGTTGGCCACAATCAGAACTGGCAGGTCAGACCCCCCCCCAAAAAGCATTTGACACATTTCAAATATATAATGGAGTTTTTTGCAATGATTAGTCAAATAATCCATCATTAAATATTTTTTATAATCAAATAAATCAAACCGTGTTTATTTCGCACTTTTTAAAGACTCATGCTAACAAAGAGCTTTATAAAACTAAACTAAACAAAAGTAAATTAAAACAGGGCTGTTCCCCTCTCACATGCAGTCAGCTGGGTGTTTACACATGGTGCTTGTAATGCTAATGCTTGAGGTGTGAAGATGTGGGCATTCAACCAATCACTGCCCTGCAACTGCAGGGTGTGCACGCACCCTCTTCCCCTTGCATTCATGGTACTTGATTTTAGTACTACCTAATGAGGGGTGCTAAAATTTAGCTCCCATAACGCACCGCCTAAGCAGGCGCACTGTAGTGGCAATAAATGCAGAACCCGTGACGAGAGTATTTCGGCATGACACGTTTCGGTGAGTTCCTATAATGGAAAATCCCATGTGGACCGGGGCAGCTGGGGATCAAACTGCTAACCTCTGATTGGTGGACGACCTGCTCCGCCTCCCGAGCCACAGCCTCCTGTCTCAGACTGAGGGCACACTAGAGGATTTTATGATCTTAACCAATTTTTAAAACATCAGAGACCACAGACATACCGACAGCTTTAACAGATTCAGTCAAAAGGCAGGACCACACAATCAGTGTCAGAGACACCGATTCCAGGGACCAGGGATCTCAGTTGTGATGGCCAGCTCACTGTCATTGGCTGTTGCAGGTGTCTGGTCAGGATTCAATCGCTGTTGCCCCCACACTACTGGATACTTACAATTCAAGATCAGGGGCCCTTCGATCCCGTGGGAGGCATAACGACTAGGTCATTCAACATCTCACACTAGAGGATCATTTGGCCTGAGAATTGCTTCCAAGTGAACTCACGTGGGGGAACACCCCCCATGACTGTCAGTAAAGACAAAATGGGCCCAAAATCAGACTAATTATCCTGCAGTGTGGGGCCGGCTTAAACTAGACGCAGAATATTAAGCACAGACTCATTCACACAAGTTCATTAGGAGACAAAGGCCATTGCCTTTCAAATGTCTTTGAAAGAGCAGCTAAACAAAGCAGATTCATGGCATGGACCATGATCAGCCTGTCAGCCTGATCCACTGTGGCACAAAGTGTTTTGTAAAAGGCATTTATGTAACTTTAACGTTTCAACAATACATTTAACATAGGTTACTATGACATAGATTATACATTATCCTGACAGATATTCAGTAACAGGAATCTAAGCTAAAAATCTGCACGGCTCAGCAAAACCCAAATTTAGCAGTACATCATCTGATGCCCCAGACTGCAGAAATGACACACTCACTGCTCATTTTACAGCAATGTCCTCATTAGAAGAGGAGATAAAAAGATTTAAAAAAAAAAAGTAATTGTGAATACTTTTGGTAATTTGGTAAACCTCTCAATATTCAGCAGCTGATGACAGGAACGCACACACCAGGGCCTGCTTTAGAGCTGGAGCTGTAACCTTCTACAAACAACAGCAGATTTAATTGTCTCCTATGGATAATAACGTGCATTATGTGTGCCACATTTTACCACAAGGTGATTGCTGTGCTGGATGAAAATGGAGACGTCTGACTGAGTAAATGTGAAGCTGAGGAACCACTAATTAAAGGGGGATAGAGTGGTTTTCTCTCTCACTGTGCTTCACATGCATCAGGAACAGAGGAAAAAAAAAAAGGCTTTGTATTTAAATGAGACGAGACTGACAATCTTATTTAAATATCCTGCTAGTTAGCTGTCCTACTAAAACAGCGTGAACTAAGGATAGTCTCTGCAAGAAAACAACAGATTAAAATATTCTCATCAACAAAATGCAAACATTTTTTGCTGATATGAGCTTGTAAATCAACCTACTGCTGTAGCATCCATTGATTTGGTCCGTGACCCTTTAAAATGAAGCATTATCTACTTTCTAATCTGATATTAATCTAATCTGACATTAAAGGTTATAGCCATGATGTGGACATAAATTGTAAGTTTGCTTTTTTTTTTGGTCCTGCTCAGTGTTTGACTTTAAGGACATTTACAATCCTAAAACCTGGCATCTTTGCACTTTCAGTTCCCTCACCCTGACGTCAATAGGTTTTTTGAATGGGTTTTTGATTAGATGCCTAAAATAAGGCCTGTGGTTAATACAAGGCCAGTACATCTTCATGTTTTGTTCCTCAGCATAAAATACGTCAGTTACTGCCCCTCTTGTGAGTTTGAATGCTTTTCTGTGCCTTAGAAAAGGCAGTTGCTAACAAATGGCTAAATGAGACAGACTACAGAGGCCGTCTGTAACACAGAGGACTAATGTACTCGCTAGTCCGCCTTCACAGCCTCGTTATTTCTAAACTGGTGCACTTGCAAACTCTTCTAATTAAATGACACTATGATCACTAGCTGGATCAGGTCACGCAGTGAGGCAAGGATTTTGTAGAAGAGGTAAGCACTAGAAATCAAATTACAAGTTGGAAGCCAGGGGACCGTGGTGTAGTTGGTTTATAGCCTAACAATAGCGTTTTACTTCTGGTGATGTTATCTGGGCTTCAAAAAACTTGTAAAACAAAAGCAAAATTCGTGCTCTTGTTACAGAGCCTGTCAGGAGTGTCCTGTATCACTAATACAGTCAAAATAAAAAAGCCATCGATTGAAAGTCAGATCAAGAGTCGGGCCATACAGTTTTTATACAGAGAAATATAGTGACCACTTAAACTATGATCTCCTACATACCCACACTGACTGCATCAAACCCACTGGGATCAATTAGCTCGATGTGCTGGCCACATGCTGAGAACTGTTACTGTCATACCAGACAACCTTCTGAAAATCATGACGATGTTGTCGTATTGTGTTCAGTGTTAGTTGGGTTTGTTAGCAGCTGCAGAGCAAGAGGTCAGGGGCAAAGTCATTACCGTCCACGAAGGAGCTGTCAATGATTGGAGAACGGAGTTGTCGCTAATTAGAACGGTTCTTTTTATCTTCTGTTTCCTTTGTTATTTCCCAAGGCTTTCGTGCATTTATGTAATGCTCAGTGACATTAAACAGAAAGCTGTGTGGCTTTTGTGAATCCCAGGTAAATAAATGTCTGTGTAGAAGATGTGGAATAGCTTCATCTAATGAAAAATAACTCATTGCAGTAAACACTGTGTTTTAGACCAGCTTTTCTGTCACTTGTAGCAGCACTGTGCAGATGGGGAGTAGAAAACAGCACTGTCACTAGTGTGTGCTAAATGAACTAAATGCTGACTACCTTGATGTTAAACATAATTACAAGTACTCTAATACAAGTTATGACAGCTCTTTGCTGTGGTTTATATAAACAATGTGGAATCCTTTTGGTGACAGCTCATGAAGCCATTTTTAGATTTCACTTTTCACTGACTTGACAATTAGCAGTGCTGCTCTGTACAAGGGGGACGATTTCTCCTGGGCTGCATCTCATATCTCTTAAATAGCTGTATCTTGGTCCTCGATACTCACTTGACCCAGAGCAGGGATCGAGGCCTTCCCAAAACTCTTATAAACGATACTCTCGGGGGAGAGGGTCAAGGAGCAAGGAGGCTGCTGGAGGAGCCGTGAGCGAGGGTACATGAGGGCCTCCCTTGCAGATGTCTTTTATGGACCAACACCATCTTATCAGAAATCCAGTCGGTGATTGGAAGAAAGAATTTATCATGTCTCCTTGAATTTTCTCTCCTGGCATTTTCCCCTGTATCTTTAGCCTCACATCTAAGACACAAGGTAAAGACACAACTGAGGGAATCCTTGGTACTTGTACGGTACCTAGGATCTACACATGATCTCAAGAATCGAGGGTGTTGCCTTTAAACGTTTTGTTAAGCAGAGTGTCACACAGCTACAAGAGTCTGCTGCACTACAACAACCTGGATTCTGGGATTAAAAGCCATTTTCTTCTGTCTTGCAACTATCTGAAATTCACTCCAGACATGAAATATTTCATCAGGTTGGGTGATATGGGTTAAATCCTTCATATTGGTAAGAAATTGCTAACTGATCCGATAAAGAGAGGGATTTTTATTTTTAATTCAGCAGTTCAAACACCTGACAAATTAAAGTGCTTTAAGACAAACACCATATGAAAATCTAGTGCTGCAACATTACCCATGTCTTGACAAAACCAGAGATGTTGCATAAAATGTGTCTATATCACCATATTGTATTATATGTATATCCCCCACTCTTATGTTTCATCGCAACAAGCTTAACTGAATGTGGCACTCCTGCAGCTACTTGATTAACAAAACCCCTGCCTCAGGTGCTACGCC